CTCGCTTCGAACAGTGGTATGTGTTTAGTCCACTGTTTACGTCTATTTATTTTAGTATTGCACTTCTGTTTTAACTACATTTCTTCTTCTCTCTCTCTCTCTCTCTCTCTCTCTCTTCATATGTCCAAAAGAAATCATTTGTGATTATCGATACAAGCACGATGCAAATACAATTTCCATCGATTTTTATTTGTAAATGGAAATACGTTTCGAAAAAATATTTATAAATGAAGGAATATGAAACAAAGAGAACTTTTTATTGCGATATCAAATTACACGAATATGAACGTAATAATATCGTGTTATTATTATTAATGTAAATTAAAAAAAGTAAAAAAAAAAATTATTTTAAAAAAAATATTTTATTCGTTTTATAGATTGAAAGATGGAGAAAGGTCGTCTGATTCTTAAGTTTTCTCGTTACAACGAGAGAGAAGCCAAAGCCTAAGTTCGTCTCGTTCGAGAATGTGGTCGAAGATTTTAGCCTGATTCTCTGACTCTCTATTTTGAATGGAAATTCTTCGCGGTCGAGTCATGCTGGCTTTAATGGAGGTCTAGAATCCCGTAAAACCTTTATCTATATTTGGCTCACAGGATTTTAAAATTTTTCGTTTCACGTTGTGTTTCAATATTTCAAACGTATTACGATCCGAATATTTTAACCTGTCTCGAATTATTATTTAAATTACGTTCGTTTAAATTTTTTAGGTTACAAAAAATTAATCGATACTTAGCCGAAAAGTATCCAGACTGGTTGTCTGAACTGACTGAAATTCGAACTATCGAGATAATTGAAAGTTCATTGCGGAACTCGCTTAATTGGCCTCTAAGTTAACCGGATAGAAACTTTGAGTTTCTGCGAAGCGGTGCAGCTTGTTTGACGAGAAACGAAGAATTTACCGTTCCTACTTCGAACGAAGTAAATGCCTTTACAATATATCTTCATTACTTCGCAGATCACACTTCGATCCCTTAATTCCTCGATTAATTCAATCTTAAAAATTCTAAGATTAAAATTTTAAACTTTATATATTATTCCTTTCTACATGGGATCAAGAAACAAGATCTAATATCAAAGGTTGAATATAATAGGATGGAATATAAAAGGAAATTTCTTCCATCCGTTAAATTTCTAACATCTTAATTATACTCGGCTCGCAAAATCGTTTAATAATAATTATATTTTCACGATATAATAATCGAGACGTTGTTCTTCCAGGGTGGCCCTCCATCTGGTATGGCGGGGAAAGATGGGAAGGTGGAGCCAAAAAGCGGGGACGTGGTTAGGCAGGGGTTCATGGTGAAACGTTCTCAGAACAAGAAACGTTTCACCCCCGTCAATTACAAACAACGTTGGTTCGTTTTGACGAGGCGCTATCTCGTCTACTACGACGGCGATGGAGAGGTGAGTCTCTTTTTGCAATTTCCACCCCGTCACATTTTATCCACTCCCTGTTTTTATTTTTCTTTCCATTACCGCTCTCTACCCCTATTACGGGGGAAAAGTTGGTTCCATTAGTGGTTCCAGAAAAAGTGGTTTTTCTTTTTGTAAATAAACCGATAATCGAGGCTGGCCATAAAAAATTTCTCTGCGTAAAATTTCTCCTCTCGTACACAGCTCGATAGATCAGGGCGGGTGAAAAGAGGTTTGGATCAAAGAAGAAAAGTTTGAAGGAAAGTTTAGTATAATTGATTTCTCTCTTTTTGTATATGTTTCTTGTGCATTCTTGTGCGGGGAGGAAATTTATTTGTATCGATTATTGGAAAGAAAAAGAAGATGATAAACGTTACCAGTTGATCGATTCGATAAAATTTTGGAAAAATAGAATAGATAGAATTTTGTTGTACACAATTCGAATCCGCAATTTATATCAAATATTCAATCAATTTCGTCGAGAATAGTAGAATAATAAGTTTCTTCTTCTCTACAAAACAAAAGACTGGAGATTAGATTTTCATTCGAGCAAAGTAGATTCGAAGATTTGATCCCCCAGATTTATTTAAATAATTTGCCTTTCAATTTGATTCACCTAACCCCTTCTTTTGCAACCTCTTCTTCTTTTGGCCTAGTTCTTCTCCATTGTCTCTCCCTTCAAATCACGTTTCTTTCAAACTTTCCTCCAAAAAAAAAGAATGGAAATAAAATAAAACTCGTACGAAATCGTATCGATGTAATTGCCGAATCGAGGAAACGTATTCGACGACACGATTCCTGATTCGATAATTGACCTCGACGAGATCGAGCAGATACATCCCTCCATAGAATTTCCGGCGAGCTCGTTCGACGACGATTCAAA